TTTTTTTTATAACCCCCCCCCCCATTTCCAGGGGGCGGGGGGGGGGGGGGTTTAAAAAAAAAAAAAAAAAAAGATCTGTGTTTTATGTGAGATATTCCAGTATGCTGTGGATAAAGTAAAAACTAAAGAAAGTTCAAACTTAGATTCTCCAAATCACAATAGCACATGCAAATATCTCACAAATTGTTAGAGAGCAGGTTCAGGCTGGACATCGGGAGACATTACTTTGCAGTTAGGGCTGCCAGGCTCTGGAACGGGCTCCCAAGGGAGCTGGTACTCTCCCCTACCTTGGGGGTCTTCAAGAGGAGGCTGGACAGATATCCGGCTGGGGTGATATGACCACAGCACCCGCTCCTGCCCGGGGCAGGGGGTCAGACCTGATGATCTGTTTAGGTCCCTTCCGACCCTAAGTACTATGACGCTATGACTCTCTCCCCAGTAACCACTCAATTGTTTCCAGTATGCTTGAGAGCAACGACAGGGAGTTCCCCTGAAGCAGCTTCATATACCTTTCTGGATTTGGAGTGTGTGAGCAAGAGTGGGGTGTATTTAAGAGTGCCCAGGAGTGCTGGGGACATGGTATAGATGTATCCTATAGGGACAGCATAACCTCCCTCTGCCAGTTCCTGCCTCAAAAATGCCTCATACTTGATCTGGAAGGACTTCTCTAGGGGCAAAAAGGAAATCATCATGGCCTGCCCAGTCCATGCCTTCTTGCCAAGATGGTCCACAAGCAGAATGATCATAGAAATAGCTTTCATGTTCTGAATGAAGCAATGGGAGTGCACGTCTCCCCCAGACACCAAACAGCCATCGGGCACTAATTGCTTTCTGTTGCTACTGACCAGGACCACATTCTGGTCTGCATCCTAGGGGCAAAAGGCTCAACATCATGGTAAGAGAGGAAACCACTCTGCTCTTACTGCTGGGGGCACACTAGATCTTCCTGAATACCTCAGCTCCAAGGGGGATGCAAGTGGGACATGATCGTGGAACAGCGGTGTATAAGGTGGGCAGGGGCTTAGGCACTTACCCTGCTGATGGCCAGGAGGAAGTCAAGTTTGTGCGACTTGGGGACAGAGTGCCGCAGTTTCCAGTACACGAGGTGTTCCCAAGCAAAGACCAGCAGGCTCAGACCCATGGCCACCAAGAGCATGTAGAAGACACCAGCCATGTTATCAATATCCAGCTTGCTGCTCATCACCTCATTCTTCTCGTTCTGGCAAATGCCCGACAGCCACACGGTCTCCAGCTTCTGGGTTTCCCCTGGGAAACAGTTATGCACACAGGGACAGAGTGAAATCCTGGCAAGGCGCTTCCTGTGTCCCTGCAGCCAGCATCACCCTCCCACCCCTCCCTTCACAGCCTAATGCCTCTCTTGTTTCAGGACCGGGACAAAAATCAGCGTGCCCTGAAAGTGGCTATGAATGGGAGGAACACCCAGCTCTGGTGGCACTGGGTACTGTACCAAGACACGTCATGTTTGCTCTGTCCGTGTGATAACCCCCCGAACCAAGAGTAGTATAGGCGTCTCATCCCAGCATGAACAACCCCTGCTTCTCAGTGCTCCCAGCAGAGCTGTGGCACATGCAGCATGTTGGGGAACAGACATACCCGCTGATCCCCATCCATATAAGGGACGTGCTTATGTCTCCATTTTCCCTTCTAAATACCCTCCACTTTCCTCCCCTCCTTTCTTCTATCCATCTTGCTCTTTCTCCATCCTGATAAGCCTCTTTTCTCCCCTCTCATCCTACCAATCTCTCCCTTCCCCCTCTAACACATTACACTTGACATTTTCTCAGCTCTCACTCAGTTAAATTTTACTCCCAAGCCCTGCATTTTCTTGCTTGCTCCCCCTCCCACCTTACATTTTGCACACAGATCACTTGAAGTCTCAAACCTACCAGAAGTGTTTTATTTCCTTTGAGAAGGAAGAGAGATTTCAGAGAGAATAACTTCCAGACACCAAACAGGAGAGACTGGGCCTGATTTAATGTTAACCACAAACAAAGAACAGCTTTCTGAATCCTTCTTGGTACTTTCTCTAACATGCAGCTCACCCAACAGAGCCTCTGCTTGACTGCACAGAGTCTGGCACCAGGTTTCTCTAAGGTACTCAGAGAAAAGATACTCATCCTAAGTGATTTCCATGGGGCAGAGAGCCTGAAAACTTCGGGGGTCAAGATTCTCAGAAGATGCAATTTCTGCTAGCCGAAGAGGGGCCCGCTATCTGGATGACTCTGTAATGCAAGTATTGGCTTGGAGGGGCTGCAGGATCCTCTCCTGGTTCTTAAGGAGTTCATTTTTAAACAAAACAGCGGCAGCTTTGTATCACAGAGAGGAAGGAGAGAGAGACAGAGAGACAGAGAAGATGAAATAAGCAGGAGAAGATGAGAGATAGGCAACCCTCCTTTGTAATGGCTGATTCTTGTGATAACGTTGTTGGCTCAGCTCTGCAGGGAAAGAAGTGTGATAACATTGTTCTGTGACCTCTGGGAGGGATGAGCTGTAAGACTTTCACCAGGTAAGGGGTAGACCATTCCTGCTCCCCAGCTCCTGGCAGGGAAAGATACCCACCGTCTCCCAGGAACTGCAGAAGAGCCAAGTCAATCGCCCTCTTCCACCGGGAATCCTTCTGGAGGGCAATGCCATAGCCAGTGGTCGCAAAGACTTTCCCACTGCCGATGGTCACCAGCTTGCAGCCCTCATCCTTCCCAGCCATGTAATTCAGCACTGCAGCATCGTAGATAAAGGCATCCAGCTTCCTGGAAGCAAGGAGAGAGATCAGTGCAAGTGCAGCACCCAGAGAGGCAGGAAACAATTGGATACATCGGGGTAAAACTAGTAAAGGAGGAAACCAAATATTACTATTTCCAGGGCACTGGATACCCCAAATCTCAGACCTCCATGTTCCTTTCTACACAAGGCGGGGCTGCTGAAATTTCAGGCATCTTACTAGCTCCGCAGTCAACAACCCCAGGCTCAGCAGGAATTTGGGCTTCATATGCTCCCAAATTGGTGAAGGCTGCCTTAAGCAAATCCCATTGCTCCAAGTGAGATCTTCTAAAAGGCAATGACACATCTGTACAGATCCCTTTGCACACCACTGAAATGTGGCCACCACGGTAGTGAAATGCATCAGCTGCTTAACAACTCACAGCAATGCTATACAAATAGTATAGGGACTAAAGTGAAGGGACAGAAAAAACCAACCTGTCTCCTTTGGAAATTACACTGACAGAACGCAATTACCAGAGCTGAAGTGCAGCAGGCTGCTAGGGTTGATGGCCCCGTGCGCATGCAAGAATTGCCACGGGTTCACCAAGGGCTGCCAGGCATCAGGATCTCAAATTTGTCACTTCCTGTAAAAGATGGTGATGCCATGGGCGGGGGGGGGGGGG